GAAGTAAATTTTTTCGAAAAAATCATCTTCTTCAAGCAAGGCATAGGCTGGGTTTTCCTTTCCATGCAGTTTTAGATTTAGCTCGTTTAGATTCTTTGTGATCTCCACCATGAAGATGTTGCAATTTGGGAAAAACAAGTTATTAGGAAGTAGCCTACATTGTAATAGGGCGTAACTAAATATTCTAATAGAATAGCGAGTGTTTATTGTTTATATTTATTATTTTATCGTTCATTACCATGTGTTGCAGAACAATATTTTTAATGAACTTTGAAAATAAAATAAAAGAATTATTGATATTTGTGTATAGAGCTGAAGAGCAGCATCTCGACATCAAAAGAGCCGCAGGTTGCCGACCCCTGCATTAGGTTGATTGTGTTGTCTCTTTTCTCAAAACCAAAATCACCACCTCAACTTCAAATTTAACCGGAAACGAAATACGTTGATACTATACTAAACATAGTCGAAGTCATACCCCTAAACCTTAGACAGAAGTCGCATTTAGAAGTTTCTTTCAGGCGACTCTACTTGGGGGTGAGGGGGGAGCTTTAGTTAGACCTGCTAAGAGTCACAATTGAAAAAACCCATCCCCTTTAAAACAAAAAGTGAAATTGGATCACAAATTATACATCAGAAATAATAGACAAAAGGTTGTGTAATATATGATGATAATATATCAGAGGGGGGGTCGTCCATAAGTGGCGTCACACTCGTAGTGGGGAGGGTGGGTTCGTTATTTTGTGACGGTGTGTGTAGGGGATTCGATGGTGTGACGTCACACTTGTATAAAAGAAGCAATGTTAGAAAACCAATTTTAGCCGTTATTTCGCGTTTTATAAAGCTGTTTTAATAAATTATAATAGGAATATGTCAAAATACTCTATGTTGACAGAGTTCTGACAAGATTTTGGAACAATATCGGTTTTAAGAAAAATTCAACTTCAATTTTGAGGGGGTTGTAAGTTAGGTGTGATGTCATTTTAGGAGGGGTTTGGCTTGTGTGAAGGGAGAAAGGAGGTAATAATCGTCAAAAAAGCGTGACGTCGTTTATGGATTACCACTAGGCCCTATATAATGTAGAAAAACATTTTAGTTAATCTGGGAAGCCAAGTAGTCAGTGGCGGAACTAGAAAAAAAAGGCCCCCCCCGCAGAATTTTTTTTTGGGCCCCTATATATATATATATATATATATATATATATATATATATATATATATATATATATATATATATATATATATATATATATATATATATATATATATATTAAGTTTTCGAAGTGAGAAACACCGACTCTCTAAATCTAGCCCGACACACTAAACTGACGATGATTTATTAAGAGGCTTTTATCAAAACGTTAACAACCGTGTATTTTTTAGACGTGTGCCCTGTTTACCAGAAGTTGAATTAAATATTAACAATTTCGGCAGTTCATTTCTACCAACTAGACACGCCTAGGCATGCTGTAAGTCCCTCGGCGACGGCCCAGGTGTCAGGGAAGTCACGGGGCTTTTGGGAGCTACCGGTTACATTCAGAGTTTCTTTCAGGCATCTCTTGGGGGGGGGGGGGGGGGACGAAGCCCCCCCGAAATTTTTTTTACCACCCCCTCCCCCCCCCCCCCCCCCCGAACGAAATGAAATTTCTATACTTTATATAGAAAATATATACTTTTAACAGCGTCCGCCCCCCCCCCCCCCCGAAGAAAGTCTACCGCCCCCCCCCCCCCCCCCCGAAAATTTCAAGTGCCCCCCCGGAGAAAAAAGTCTGGAAGAAACACTGGTTACATTACTGCACAGGGGATGGGCGCGACATATTGTTTCTTCCGGCAGTCTGGAAGAAACATTGGTGCAACACTTGATTAGATTTAATCAGCGAGTGTAGTAGCGAGACTTATTCCTAGTGTTGTCGGAACTTTTAAACGACTGGATGTGGGGGCCAACCTGCTCATATGTGATGCGCTCAGGATGGCACTGTCGCCGGTGATTTCAAGTAGTAACCTCATCCGCTTATGCAAGATCTAGGTGCGCTAAATCACATATTTCCGTTGGGCGTCCCCACTCCAATATGTAAACAAATGTTAGCCTATGACAGAAACCTTTGCGTGGCTGTCAAGAAAATTTTTTACCGCCCCTCCGAACGAAATGAAATTTATATAATTTATATAGAAAATATATACTTTTAACAGTGTCCGCCCCCCCCCCCCCCCCGAAGAAAGTTTACCGCCCCCCCCCCCGAAGATTTCAAGTGCCCCCCCTCCCCCGGAGAAAAAGTCTGGAAGAAACACTGGTGGCTGTCCTCAACAGCTTCCAAAGTTTTCATGGCGATTGGGTAAATGATGCAGTAATGCAAAATAGACAGAAACGTGTTTTTCACATGTACAACTGTATGTAGCCAGCTCACGCGTCGGATAACTTTCTGATTTAGGGGGGGGGGGGGGGGGAATCCACAAATGACGTCACATTTTTTAACGACTAACAAAAAAGCCAGACCCTCACACACCCCCCCCCCCACCTCAATAACGTCATTGATAAATAGTAATTGACTATTAATTATATAATAATGTTCAATTAATTCTAAACGTTCTAATTAATTTCTAAATAATTATATAAAAAATAATCTTACCTTCCCTGTTTTGTGAATTAGATGTGCCTAATACTAATAGTATGCAAATAAATCAATATCTGTTGACTAGTGCTGTCTAGTGTCTGGCAAAATGTGCTGAAGTGGTGAATCGTACGGTTAGGAAGTAGTTCATAAACGATACATTTATCTCCTCGATACTTGTGAGGTTGAGAAAGAGGGATGGGATAGGGGTCGGCTCGGGAAAAAAACTTGAAAGAGACGACAAAACGCCTTGATCTATGTACGTCAGCATCGCCCATTGTAAAACTCAGGGGAGATAATTCCAAGTATAGGCCTTAAAAGTTTACTATGATATTTCTTGTAAAAGTAAAAAAAAACAGTAAACGTATATAAAAACGAAGTTTCTAGTATTATATTCTTTTTTATTATTTGTAGGATACAAGATAGTACAGAATACAAATTCAACCACTATCACTAACACATATTAACATTGAAAAATGTTAAATGGATTTCGGCGGGTCCCTAACTAATGCCGAAACGAAGAACCGCGCATCATGAAAGCCACTTCATGTGTAGCGGCTTCTCGTGCTATGGTCTTTGTTGTTTTTTTAAAAAGAATTTTGCCGGCGACAGCGTGGGGAAATAGAACTCGGCCTTGACGATGGTTAAAAAATACAACTATAAATAAAAAGAAATGTTATCCCCATCCACTGCCCTATCCGCCACAGTACACTTTGGAGGATCGGTCAAACAGTTACGTGTCCTCTATTTAGCTATCAAAGGGGGGCAACGAGTCAAATGTGTCATTCAAATTTGAAGCGTTGCCTATATTTTACACTGTATTTTGTGTAATGGATTTTATTTTTTTTTTGCTGAAGAGCGTGGCATAGTGACTGTAAAATAAAGATAATCGTACCGCAGCTACAGTGTTTTTCTTTTACAAACTAAATATCAAGGCAAAAATGCACGAAAATTAAATTCAAAATTTTAAAAAATACTAATTATGGTCAGCAGTGGGCCCCTAAACGGCCTGCCCCCGCCCCCCCCCCCCCCCCACCCGCATTGCGGGGTCTGGGGGCACTGTAGTTCCGCCCCTGTATAGATCTTTTGGTTGTTTTTAGGCTTAAAAGCTAGATCATTGTATCCTAAAAAATTTTAACTTTAATGTATTTAGTGTTAAAAACTAATTTTCCATTAACACGTTTACTAATTATAAAACGATTAATAATATAAAGACGAGTCTTACCTTCTTGTTGTGTGAATTAGATTCGTCAACGAAATACTTTATCAGGTAAATGAACAACTACTGACTAGTGTCTTTAACAAAATGTGCAGAATTGGTCAGTTTACAGTTCAGTAGTTCATAAACGGTTCGTTAATCTATGCATTACATCTTATTGTAAGAGTAAGGGTGTGGTGAGGGGTAGAGGTTAGGGGGATGGGGGGAGGGTAGAGAGTTGGGAAGGTTCAAGGGAAGGGGACAAGAAAGCGCCGATGAACATCTACATCAATAGTGCCGACTTTTTCCGGTCGTCTAGAAGACCAGGATAGTCGCCGCAACATTTCCCCAGCCCGATTTTCAAAGCTTTTTTGTTCTCCTAATCGACACCACTAAAAAAGAACGGTAGGCTGCGTCTTTGAAGTTGTCTATATGTCTGGCGGTCTCTCGAGCAATAGTCTGTGCATTTTTCTCATAGACGTTTGCCGACTATCGTGTTTGTTTGTAACTGTAGAAGAAAGATAAACTCGACATCCACCTAATTTTTTTTATTTAAATTTAAATTTTTTTAAAAATAATTTAGCCAGGATTTTTGGGCCCCCAATCGGTCTGGGCCCCCCCGCATTGCGGGGTCTGGCGGCACTGTAGTTCCGCCCCTGCAAGTAGTAGTCTATTTCTTGAATTTTGAACGTTCAATATGAATGTTAGGCGTCCACTTAGGGTGTTGGCGCCATGGGTGCTCACTCGCCTTCCCCTAGTTACGCCTCTGTATTATTTCGCATCGACAACTGAATCACCCCCCCCCCCCCGTGTAAAAAGAAATGGTCTACAATTACTTTCCATTTTATTTTGTCACAAGTTTAGCTGTAACAACACGTATTTCTGTCGGTATTACAATACGGTCGTTATTGTGAGTTCGTTCATCCAAGAATACGAGCAACAGTGCTTTGTAACTTCAAACTTTTATTTACATAGATCCATAAGAAATAATAACGATATTCAACACTATCCTAATGTAAGCCCTGTTAGGGGGGGGGGGGGAACCTAAAATCTACCCTTCTAGGCTTATCTAACTAACTACTGTCCGGTCAGTGCAAGCCCGGCTAAACCCAGACTGGTTAATAACCTTAACCTTAGTCTAAATAATAAAAGTACTAAAAAAAGCTTTTAACAATTTAATCAAATTTATTACATGGAACCAAAATTATATAAATAAAAAATAGATTAACAAAACAGAACTTTAACGTAACAAAACAAACTTTTTACACCACACAAAACACCCAGCCAAGTCGCACAAGCAACCTCACTGGAAGGGGGGGGGGGGAGAGAAAAAGAAAAGGAAAACATAAGAAAAATACATGGTAATGGCATATATATACATAAATATATACACAAGTTCAAAATGCTACCTACTACTACTATCTAGCTAAAGACTCGAGTAAAACTAATCCTTACTATACTATATCTAAAAGCCATTCTCAAAAAACACTAACCACTGTCTAAAGAAGAACTAGCAACTTAAAAATAACGTGTAAACAAATTCATTGTAGAACCAATCTTTCCTACACAAGGAGCAGCCCGAAGCCATTGGTCTACCTTAACAACATCCATATTGATAACATTGAAGTTAACACACTCCGCGAGGCCCCAATGAAGGCAGACACAAAGCAAGCGATACTCAACATGACGTTGCACGAAACAGCACACACATTAATTTTAAACAACCTAAAACTCGAGGCAACTAAAATATACTAATCTAATTACTGTCTAAAAAAAACTGACTAAGCCACAGAACACGGGGGCCGTTGGCCTACGATGCAGCATAGAGGTATCTTGGACCTTTGGGCTAGCTGCCAATTCAGCCTGCTCTGCATGCTTAAACAGCAACTTGTCCTTAAACCTATTTGGGATGGGTAGTCGTTGTACCCGTTCTTTTCTCCCAGCATCAGCACCTACAGCTGACGACACAGCAACAAAGCTGAGTTTCTGTAGAGGCATGGGTTGGGATAGGTACTCGTCCAAAAACTCCAAACAATCACTGTACCGTTTAGACTCAAGGGATTTCCTTAATCGTTTATTGTAGGCTAGTCTTGAAATGTCAGACTGGGTTAAGAACCAGATCTCATTTAAAAACCTAGCAACGTTGATGGAACCGCAGCACAAAGAAGCAATGAATGGAGAACCTTTTGCTAAATCACCTAAACCAACGCAGGCTAGATCAACATGTTTTGGCCCTACGCCAAGGGATATAATTTGTTTTAAGCAACCATTTTCCTTTTTCAAAATTAATTGATGAACAATATCAAGACTTAAACATGAGCTGTCGGCTCCTTTTTCTATTAGGTAAAGAACACGTTTTGTATCAAGCCCTTGACTGAGACCTTTGCTTATAAGTGCAGATAGAGCAGTTTCGTTTTTCTTTTTGTTGACTAAATTGACTTCAGCACCTGCCTCACATAATACTTTCATTGTTTGGATTTCTTGTTGTTTGGCAACTAACATCAGAGGTGTGTACCCTTCACTGTTTTGACAGTTGACACTGGCTCCTGCTTTTATTAGGAGTCTCACGACTTTAACGCGATTGTTGAATTTTGAAGAACATACAAACAGCAAAGGAGTATTGCCTTTGGTATCGGCATCATTTACATTCGCATTATTTTCTAGCATAAACTCTATCATTTGCATATATGATCTTGGCAACGAACTGAATAAAGGTGTCTGTCCTATGTAGTTTTTTAAATTGATATCTGCCTTAAACTCCAACAGAACTTTTGCACTTTCGATAGACTCACCATTTGTAGCGAAATGTAATGCACTATCACCGTTGTTATTTCGTTTATTAATATCCGCCCCAGCTTGTAGCAGAGCACGCATTACCTCTTTTTTGTCTAATTTTTTTGAAGCTACCATTAATGGAGTATTGCCTGCTTTGTCTTCCACATTCACATTAGCTCCATTTTGAAGTAGGACGTTTACTCTTTCTAGCAGAATATCATTATTACATACCATTTTACTTTCGTTCAATATAGAAGTTAGAGTTGAGTATGATGTTCCGTATTTTTCAAAAATGACATTCACGTCGGCGCCTAATTCGATCAACAGTTCCATAACATTAGGATCTGTAGCTGACATTAAAGGTGATTTATAATCATGACTTGCATTAACATTGGCGCCTTCTTGCACTAGTAGTCTTATTATCTCCTTATACCCCTTTTCTGCAGCAATGTTTAATAATTGGGTTCCTTTTAGCTCTATCTGAAAACTAACATCTGACTTAAATTGTTCAATTACAAACACAAGCGATTCAATCTTATTTCCTCTGACAATAGAAGTCAGTACAGCAGAAACATTTATTTTAGCACCACGTTTTATCAAAAATTTCGCACAATCTAACTGATCATGTTCAATTGCAGACAGAAGTGCTGGGCATGAGCCTTTACTGATCGTTGCTCCATGGTCAAGCAGCAAGTCTATAATGTCACATCTTCCAATCTCAGCAGCTACTTCCAAGGGATATTGAAATAGTTTGTTTACTTCCAAGGGATATTGATGGTATTTGTTTGCATCTGTGCTGTGACGACAAATCATTTCTACTAAATCATAGCATCCTGTCCTTATGCTTAAATTTAATAAGCTATCTGAACTATGGTAATAGTACCTACATTTTAGAGGAGCTCCAGCCTTTTGAAGAATATGAACTATATCCACATCGTCTTCTGTTATTTCTTTTTTAGTGTGTAGTATTGAATCTAAAAATTCATAAACAATATTATTATCTTCTCCGTAGATACCACTGAAGACAACGACACGACAAGCTAATAAAAGCTTGATAAAGTATTTGTCTTTCATTGAAACTGCATTTTGTAAAGCTGTTTTCCTATTTTGTGTCCGTCGGTCGAAAAAAAATAGTAAGGGTTTAAGCCCTAAGCTTTCAGCTAGTTGATAAGCACTGTTTGACACAGAAACATCGGGGCAAGCTTTTACATCAGTTTGCTTTTTTATTAAGGTGTTTATCAATGGCAAGTTCAAAACTCCAATGGCTTTCATCAAAGCGTCACACCCATTATTATTTTTATGATCCATTTTTAAATTGCCTTTGTCATTGTCAAGAAGTCTTCGAACCAGCTCAGAGGACCCGGATGCTTGAATAGAAAGTAAAAGTGCCGTGTCACCGTCTTTGTTGTAACTGTTGATATCAGCGCCTTTATCAACCAGTGACAGAGCTATGTCAGTGAAACCTTTCTCAGCACATATCAAAAGGGGTGTGTTGCCATCGTCGTCTCTTGTCTCAATATTAGCACCATGAAATATCAGAATCTTTACCAAAAACTCTCTACCATACCTACAAGACAAAATCAGACCTTGGTCCAAACTTTCTTGGTTAACGTTGTTGTCTTTGTGTATCAGTTGATTAAAACATTCAAGCATTTCCTTGGGTGAGCCAGATTTAGCAGCTCGCTCTATCATGTGTAGGATATCACTACCAGAAGCTGAAGCATTTACACCGCTGTGTTTTGTCCCATCTCTAGTTAACTCTGAGCAGAAACGTGATGGGGACTCGAATACAAGCGATGTGCTGTTTGGCTGGCAAAATGGAGGCTCTGAAGGTAGATGCCTTCTTTTAGAGCTCTGACACAATGTTGGATTGGATTGATTTCCGTTTTTTCTTTTATTTCTGGCATTCTTTCTAGGCATGTTATGACCAGATTTACCTGAAAAACGTTATTAAAAATTAGAACAGAATATGTATGTGTAATACACTTTTAAAATTTGATATTATATAACAAAATTATATACAAAAACTTTTAAAATATATTTAAAACTTTTGTTCAAATATTGAAAGTGAAAAACAAATCCTTAAAAAACGTTTTATACCACCCATATTATTCCTAACTTGTGTTTCTGTTTGAGAATTCAATATATGTGTCTCGATAACTAACTATAAAATTTATATTTACTGGATATTACCCAAAACTGGTTTAATTAGATAATTTGTTTGAATCAAATATATTTTCAAAAAAATAAACATCAACTGGTTAAATGTTGCATAAAGTCTTTTTGATTTCTTATTAAATAAGTTTTTCTGATTTTACAATGATCACTAAAGACAAAGAACACAAATTATAATATTTCTACTACTAAATACATTAATAAACGTTTTACAACTTTTTTTATACAAAACACTTCTCGCAAAATATTACCCTTTCAAATGTATCGATTATCTTGGGGTCATCCATAAATGACGTCATTTTTTCAAAATCTTGTTTGAACTCTATCAACATAGTGTTTTAATAAATTTCTATATTACACTTTATTAAAACAGTTTTCTGAAACGCGAAATAACGGCTGAAATTCGTTTTCTAACCTTGCTTTTTTATAATGCAACACACAAAAATCATTAATTCAGAAACCGGAAACATTGCCATATTAGGCCCCTAAAAAGTTATTAATAAAAAGGTATGGATCACTCCACAAGTTCTAATAAAATAATATAATAACTGTTTGAGGTAGTAAGTAATTCATTGATGACTAGTCTATTTAAAAAAAAAGGTATTATTGATGTAAGCGGCAATCGGCATCTGCTACCCAAAGTACAGAACACACGAGTCACACCACACGCGATTACTAACATTAAACAAAACTCTATTGATATCTTAACAATACAGTTTTTAAATAAGTAAATAAAACCTATCCGCCTTTCCGGGGCTAAATTATCAACACTTTATTTCATATTGTAAGCGCGAAAGAAGTTTTTTCTCAAGTGAAGTGTTTTTTATGCTAACAATTCGTCAGAGCCCTTCACCTTTTCCGGAATCTGCAATTAGATTATTATAAAATGGCGACTTTAAAAAAAAAAGAGGGTTGGTCACTTACACCTTCCTATGTATTGTTTTCATCCTAATTTCATTAAACAATTCTATTTTTATTTGATAGTAAAGATGTTATAAAAATTGTATCTAATAAAAAAGTTATTGTAGAACGCACCTGCTTTAGTTAATTCGACTTGGAACACACAAGCTAAATAAGCGTGACTTTCTCTCGAAAGTGAAAGACAAGGAAGAAATTAGGTCAAGCTAGCATTATTAAAATGTTAATTATTCGCCCTGTAAATACATGGGCAGTTTCGAGTACAAATCTTTCCGATTACGATACAATCCTTATTTTTAACTATTATGTACTTCATGAGAAAAAAAAGATTCGATATTTTTTATGTCCGCCCAAAACACGGGTGCTCCAAAACCGCGAGAACGAGACTTCCCGAATGGACACGAGCGAGAAAAGTCTCAAAGGTATTTGAGAGGTGCATAATTTAATTTAAAAATCTTGCACGGCGTAGTTACAATTAATATGGTTATAAAATCCTGTCTTTCTGGTTATTTTTGGACTTTACTAAAGATTGGACGTATTTGATGTTTTTAATATTTTCGGTAACTAAATAAAATTTTAAAAAAAAGCAAAAACAATTTGGTTTTCACGTGTAATGGCGACATAAACAATGGCATCCTGCTATTGGATAGGCCGCCATTGATTTTATTGTACACATTGTAAGCTAAAAATACAAAACTAGGTCATGGGGTTTTAAATTTGTATTGTAATTTAAAAACTTGATCTGCAAAGTTTTGTAAACAAATAGTTATCGATCACTAAGTTACTGTACAGCCAATCAATATTTGTCTTACGAAAGTGAAACATCCGGTTATAACTTAGGCTTGATGAAAATAAATGGAAATGTAGCCTTAAACTCAACAAATTATTTTCAAGTTCTCTGGATTTGCAACTTTTATAGCATTTATTCTAAAAATATAAAATTTCTAAATTAATTTTAGGCTTAAGTTTTTATTTTTTATTTTTTTTACGGTCTAAATCTAAAAAGCACGTTTTTACTCCATGTCAACAACATTATAGAAGGAATCTCGTCAACTCGCTCGCCTCCATTGAAAAACCTAGTGTAATCTGTATATAACTGCCCTATTATTTTGGACCATTTTGTTATAAGTGAACTTAAGTTATCAGATCAATGTTTTTATGTGTGAATTGTGTATGGATTCTGATTTTCAGCATATAACAAAAATTATAATAAGGGTAAGGAGAACTTGAATACTTAAAATTACAGTTAGCACAATGCTAGTGTTACACTAGCATTGTGCTAACTGTACTAACACTAAGTGTATAGCAACAAACAGCTGACAGGTAACCTAGGTCTGACTCTTGTCAGTCTAGTCTGAAAAAATTGGATTTTAGGAAAAACATATTCGGCAAAATTTTACCTCTAGCAAAACTAGAACTAGAGCTGAAAACATGAAGGATGGGTATGTAAAAATATTTTGAAAACAACAATTAGGAGATTATCTTTGCACATTCCATAAGAATGCTGTTGTTAGTTGATCAAACTTAAAGGCCGGAAGATCGGGATTAAGAAAATATAACAATGGTGGCAACGTGAACTACATACTGTAATACAGTGACTACCTCTCTAATAATGTGACACTAATGTCGGAGTCAAAAGATCCAAAAACAAATATCATTTCCACATAGATCTACATAAGATATGTCTGCTCAGTAATCTTCTCTCATCTAAAAAAAAATCGAGATTCCAACGTATTTGAAACTAGCCTTCACATAATACTTTCATACAGACAGGGGGAAGACCAAAACAGAGACAGCATGCAATCAGATCAATAAGCCATCAAAACAACGGGAAAACCATTCTACTTTTCATTTAACATTAGGAAATGACCTTTTAAACTTAATTCATTACCATAAATTAAATACTTATTAGAATGCAAAACCAAATCTCTTGTGTCCGCTATCAGGAAGTAAATTAGTAATGGGAGATTTCGGGTCATGTTTTTACCGCGAACTAGATCTAGATCTAGAATCTAGGCCGATACCGACAACCATTTAAAATTTTTAAATGATTGAGCTTTAGTTTTAAGTGTGCCACTAACATTTACCGTTATCTAAATAATGCTCACCTGTAAAACTTGATAACGCCGAAACATAAACAGTTCAATATACCACACGAGATCAGTTATGATCAGTAACAAAACCACGTACAGTACATACAACGTACAACACACGGCAACACAGTGTACGTTCAGTGATTAGCCTAAATGTCAGCCGATTTGGGAAAGACAAGTTAGGGCCTAATAGGAAGTACATTAAAATAGGGCGTCACTAAATATTCTAATAGAATAGCGAGTGCTTATTGTTTATGTATATTATTTTATCGTTCATTACCGAGTGTTGCGGAACAATATTTTTATGAGCTTTGATTGTTTGAAAATAAAATAAAAGAATTATTGATATTTGTGTATGGAGCTAAAGAGCCGCATCTCGACATCAAAAGAGCCACATGCGGCTCGCGAGCCGCAGGTTGCTGACCCCTGTATTAGGTTGATTGTGTTGCCTCTTTTCTTAAAACCAAAATCACCACCTCAACTTCAAATTTAACCGGAAACGAAATACGTTGATACTATACTAAACATAGTCGAAGTCATACCCCTAAACCTTGGACAGAAGTCGCATTTAGAAGTTTCTTTCAGGCGACTCTACATGGGGGTGAGGGGGGGGGGGAGCATTAGTTAGACCTGCTAAGAGTCACAATTGAAAAAACCCATTCCCTTTAAAACAAAAAATAGTGAAATTGGATTACAAATTATACATCAGAAATAATAGACAAAAGGTTGTGTAATATATGATGATAATATATCAGATGGGGGGGGGGGGGTCGTCCATAAGAGACGTCACGCTCGTAGTGGGGAGGGTGGGTCCGTAATTTTGTGACGGTGTGTATGTTGAGTGGGAGAGGGGATTCGATGGTGTGACGTCACACTTTTATAAAAGAAGCAATGTTAGCCGTTATTTCGCGTTTTAGAAAACTGTTTTAATAAATTGTAATAGGAAAAGGTCAAAATACTCTATGTTTACAGAGTTCTGACAAGATTTTGGAAAAATATCTATGTTTAAAAAAAAATTCAACTGCAATTGTGGGGTTGTAGGTTAGGTGTGATGTCATTTTAGGAGGGGTTTGGCTTGTGTGAAGGGAGGCAGGAGGTATTAATCGTCAAAAAAACGTGACGTCGTTTATGGATTACCACTAGGCCCTATATAATGTAGAAAAACATTTTAGTTAGCCTGGGAAGCCAAGTAGTAGTCTATTTCTTGAATTTTGAATGTTCATTATTGAGGGGTTTTTTTTTCTACCTCGTTAGGCGTCCACTTATGGTTGGCGGCATGTGCGCTCACTCGTATCCGCCTAGTTACGCCACTGTATTATCTCGCATCGACAACCGAATCACACCCCCCCCCCCCCCCCCCGTGTAAAAAGAAATGGGCTACAATTACTTTCCAATTTTATTTTTTCACAAGTGTAGCTGTAACATCACGTATTTCGGTTAGTATTACAATACGGTAGTTATTTTGGGTTCGTTCATCCAAGAATACGATCAACAGTGCTTTGTAACTTCAAACTTTTATTTATATAAATCCATAAGAAATAATAACGATATTCCACGGTAGAAAAATAACTATTATAGTTTAGAACAAATTGACGTGGTGACATCTTAAATCTTACTACACAGTCACAGGCAAGCACCCCTCGTTCACCTTGCGCTCCCCCTTTTGTACGTTCCATTCTCACCCCTTACGTCAATGAGCGATCACACAAAAGCATGGAAAAATATATGACGAGTCGCTCAGGGGGTCGGCGTGGTCGAGTCGGTAAAGCTCATGGTTGCTAAACCGAAAAGTCTCGAGTTCGAACCCTCGGGCAGATGAGGCTCGTTAGCTGGGGACAGCCACTCTTCTATGAGGGACAACTGCTGCCTTGTAGATTGTTCTTGGTTGGACAAAGGCTATGGAAGCAAATCCAAAAAGAAAAGCAGGCTGAAATCGGAGTCAATGGCCTCAATGGCGCATAACCAGTTGACACGTAACGCTTAATTGTGTTGGAGGCGTGGTCTAGAGTTCAAACCCACTGGCAGATAAATCTCGATCCCCTTCAACACTAATAATTAAGAACGAAGAAGAAGAAGCTCAGGCAGTCCTTCCGTTGGCCAGGTACTCTACATTCATGCAACTTCATGTAAAACACAACATAATAAACATACCCAATAATACAGTCTGTGGCAGTAGCTTAAAAATGTATCGAATGAGTTGTAGGTTATTATTCGTTCTGAACAACAGATTCAGTAACAACACATATAAAAGTGTACAAACATTTTTTATACTAGAAAAAAAATTATCTAAAAAAATGTATTATTTTAAAAAATATTCGACCAACATGATTATAGTGAAAAGAACCATAGGCTATGTCAATAGATCTCCTCCCTCCCATCCTAATGAAGAAGGTCTGGCTCTGGAGGTTGCTTAAAGTAATGTTTGTTGAAGTGAGAAATCAATTTTGAAAAAAAAAATAATATTTTAAATGTAATTGATTTTCATTTATTGTTTAAAGGAAAATTTAAATTAATTTAAAAAAAAAAACCACATCAAATTAAACAGGAGAGTTCAAAAATTTTTTTAATAAAAAGTAGAATATAAAGATCGGCAACTTTGCATTAGAAATTAAGTTTTTGAAATTAAAATTGGAATGAATTAATAATATGAGAATTCTGAGTCACTCGAGTCACTGCTGTAGTATTCATATGAGGAATGTCCATCATGTCGACCAAAGCTGTTCATAAACATGTGTTTCATTGCCATCCGCTCCGTCACAGAGGTAACTTGGACTTTTGGGCGAGCTGCCAATTCAGCCTGCTCTGCATGATTAAACAGCAACTTGTCCTTAAACCTATTTGGGATGGGTAGTCGTTGTACCCGTTCTTTTCTCCCAGCATCAGCACCTACAGCTGACGACACAGCAACAAAGCTGAGTTTCTGTAGAGGCATGGGTTGGGATAGGTACTCGTCCAAAAACTCCAAACAATCGCTGTACCGTTTAGACTCTAGGGATTTCCTTAATCGTTTATTGTAGGCGAGTCTTGAAATGTCCGACTGGGTTAAAAACCAGATCTCATTTAAAAACCTAGCAATGTTGATGGAACGGCAGCACAAAGAAGCAATGAACGGCGAACCTTTCGCTAAATAACCTACACCAACGCAGGCTAGATCAACATCTTTTGGCCCTATGCCAAGGGATATAATTTGTTTTAAGCAACCATTTTCCTTTTTCAAAATTAATTGATGAATAATATCAGGACTTAAACATGAGCTGTCGGCTCCTTTTTCTATTAGGTAAAGAACACTTTCTGTATCAAGCACTTGATTGAGACCTTTGCTTATAAGTGCAGATAGAGCAGTTTCGTTTTTCTTTTCATTGACTAAATTGACTTCAGCACCTGCCTCACATAATACTTTCATTGTTTCGATGTCTTGTTGTTTGGCAACAAACATCAGAGGTGTGTACCCTTCACTGTTTTGACAGTTGACACTGGCTCCTGCTTTTATTAGGAGTCTCACGACTTCAACGCGATTGTAGAATTTTGAAGAACATACATACAGCAAAGGAGTATTGCTTTGGGTATCAGCATCATTTACATTCGCATTATTTTCTAGCATAAACTCTATCATTTGCATATGTGATCTTGACAACGAACTGAATAAAGATGTCTGTCCTATGTTGTTTTTTAAATTGATATCTGCCTTAAACTCCAACAGAACTTTCGCACTTTCGATAGACTCACCATTTGTAGCGAAATGTAATGCACTATCACCGTTGTTATTTCGTTTATTAATATCCGCCCCAGCTTGTAGCAGAGCACGCATTACCTCTTTTTTGTCTAATTTTTTTGAAGCTACCATTAATGGAGTGCTGCCTGCTTTGTCTTCCACATTAACATTAGCTCCATTTTGAAGTAGGACGTTTACTCTTTCTAGCAGAAAATTATTATTACATACCATTTCACTGTCGTTCAATATAGAAGTTAGAGTTGAGTATGATGTCCTGAATTTTTCAAAAATGGCATTCACGTCGGCGCCTAATTCGATCAACAGTTCCATAACATTAGGATCTGTAGCTGACATTAAAGGTGATTTATAATCATGACTTGCATTTACATTGGCGCCTTCTTGCACTAGTAGTCTTATTATCTCCTTATACCCCTTTTCTGCAGCAATGTTTAATAATTGGGTTCCTTTTAGCCTTATCTGAGAACTAACATCTGACTTAAATTGTTCAAGTACAAACACAAGCGATTCAATCTTATTTCCTCTGACAATAGAAGTCAGTACCGCAGAAGCATTTATTTTAGCACCACGTTTTATCAAAAATTTCGCACAATCTAACTGATCATGCTCAATTGCAGACAGAACTGCTGGGCATGAGTCTTTACTGATCGTTGCTCCATGGTTAAGCAGCAAGTCTATAATGTCACATCTACCAATCTCAGCAGCTACTTCCAAGGGATATTGATATTGTTTGTTTACTTCCAAGGGATATTGATGGTATTTGTTTACATCTGTGCTGTGACGACAAATCATTTCTACTAAATCATAGCATCCTGTCCTTATGCTTAAATTTAATACGCTATCTAAACTATTGTAATAGTACCTAAATTCTAGAGGAGCTCCAGCCTTTAGAAGAATCTGAACTATATCCAAATCGTCTTCTGTTATTTCTTGTTTACTGTCTAGTATTGAACATAAAAATTCATAAACAATATTATCATCTTCTCCATAGCTATCACTGAAGACAGCGACACGACAAGCTAATAAAAGCTTGATAAAGTATTTGTCTTTCATTGAAACTGCATTTTGTAAAGCTCTTTTCCCATTTTGTGTCCGTCGGTCGAAAATAAATAGTAAGGATTTAAGCCCTAAGCTTTCAGCTAGTTGATAAGCACTGTTTGACACAGAAACATCGGGGCAAGCTTTTACATCAGTTTGCTTTTTTATTAAGGTGTTTATCAATGGCAAGTTCAAAACTCCAATGGCTTTCATCAAAGCGTCACACCCACTTTTATTTTTATGATCCATTTTTAAATCGCGTTTGTCATTGTCAAGAAGTCTTCGCACCAGCTCAGAGGACCCGGATGTTTGAATAGAAAGTAAAAGTGCCGTGTCACCATCTTTGTTGTAACTGTTGATATCAGCGCCTTTATCAA